TCCCAAGATTGAGTTTGACAAATGTGGTCCCTACTCCAATTATTCCAGTTTTCTACAAGGTTGGTTTGAGTTCTCCCCCAATGTTAAATTTCTATACTAATGTCATTAATATTCCAATTAGAGTTAGGTTAAGTAGTTCAATTGGGGTTGTAGGTATTGGAAGAGTGGTGATCAAAATTAACTCCTATGTCAGGGGGGTAAAGATTGCGAAGGCTAGCCATGAATGTGTTGTACTCCTCAAAAGATATAAAATAATTTTCATGGGGGTTTTTTATTTTGAAGTGTTGAAATATTATTTTTTTATATTTTTCCAGAAAATATATAAACACAAGAACAAAATAAAACAGAAAACAAAATACAGATAAAAATAACAAAATTGTCAAACCTAGATCCTAAATTTTTCAACCAAAATTCTCTTAAAATCAGAAATAATCATTAACGCATTTCCCTGATAATGACGCTAAAAATATGACACGCTGAAACTTCCGCAAAGTAAGTCGGTCAAACAATACAAATGCACGTGTCAAGTAGTATGCGATTTAAGAGTCCGTGTATCGATCTCACAAGTAAAGCAACAATTTTTTAAAATCTCTATCCTACTAATTTAGTGAACCTAACTTGGTGTGATTGCAAAGATGGTTTAAGTCCTAAGATTCTAGCAAAAATAGAGGAAATGAAAGGCAACAGAAAACAAAAACATTAGAAAAATTTTGTGAGTTTCTTCAAGATTGATAAGGCTCGTGCGTTTGTAATTCGAGGATAGTTGTGATTGTGATTTTCTAAAATGTTCAACATAATTGTTGTCAACCGGAGATATAGTACTTCTTATGCCTATGTTCACGTCAAAAGAAGCTTAAAATCCATGAAGTGAAGGCTTATTCAATCCATGACATTCCGTATAACTGTTTTGATCCCCTGGAATGATTGCAGATTTCCACTAGAATATGTTTATCCTCTCAGAATTCTGTGATTAATTGTTTGTTTCCACAATGAAACGGTTAAAGTTCCTAACTTCACAAAACATATTAACATCCTAGTTTGTCAGACTAGTATATGCTATCCAACAACATAGGCCATGAAAGCACGAGAAAATGCTAACGAAAAAACAATAAGGAAAAATCACGATTAAATTCACTGCCTCTAAATCACAAATACACGAAGAATGAAATCAAGCACGCATCGTAGAGAAAACCATAGAGAGGAAAACTATGTAGGATTTCATTGAAAGAAACATAAACATGTAAAACTTTTAATAACTTGTCTTCTCCACACTTGTAGCAATCTCTCCTCTCATACAAGCTCTCACAACTCACAAAACAAAAGAAACTCTCACCCTACAAGGTTTCCACCAAAGGAGGAAGAAAACCTTGAGGAAAGCTCACGAATTCTTTCTGAATCTTGCCTCCAACAGCCTCCAATGACTCCCCAATGCAAAACTTTTGTCCAAGCCTCCAAGAGGCCATGAAGACCTTCCCTCATGACACATACATATTGATATTTAGGTTTTACATTAAGGATCCAAACTCTCCAAATCTGTCGATAGGTTCAAAATATGCATGAAATCGCGCAAAATATGAGTATTGGATGTCGTTGGTGTGGTCACGCCAGACCCCAGCTCGGAGGTCAAAACCTAGATCAAGCGTGGTTACACCCAAAGCAGGCGTGACTACGCCAGACAATACTAAGAGTCTGTTTGAGGCAGCTGTAGATTATTAATAATCTGTTGATAAGCAAATTATCTTGATAATTTGATAATCTGTAGATTATCAAGATAAACTGTCTTATTGTTTGAGAGAGCTTATGCAGAACAGCTCATTGGCAGTTGTTGCTGGATATATGATCATTTTGCCCTTGTTTAGTGAAATTGTTTGCAATAAAACTGCATGAGCAAAATAGTAAATAAAACAGAAGCTCGATCGCTAAAAAAGTGGTCTAAATGACCCCGGATGACGAAATAGACTGCACGAATGCGTCCAGAATGTCGATTTTAGTCAGGATGACATCCACTTCACTGTGAGGGTGTACAAGCTAAAAATGAGCAGATTGATGATTAATTGAATAATAACTGTTATTATTATTATTATTTTAATAATAGTATTATTATTATCATCCTTATAAAATCATCGCATACCCTCTCTCCTCTATCTATCGATCGGACGCAAGACAACCGTCACCCTCGTTTTCACGAAAACGTTAGCCGACTCTGGGATTTTGCTCCAAGCTGCCGACCAGCGGTCCTCGCCTGCGACCACTCTATTGTCGCCTCCTCTCCTCGTGCCGGTGAGCCCTTCCCTCATCTCTCGCGATCCCTCACGCTCGAAACCGTGCCCAAGCCATCGACCCATCCCCTCTTCGACGCGACATTGCCGAACGGATACGGGATCGAGGGCTCATGAGTAATAAGTTGCGATGGAATGAGGAACGCGGGGGTAAAGGGAGAGGTCGTAAATCATTTGGGTTATAACGTAAAACGATACGCGCATTTACCAACCGCCGACCCCAACTCACTAACCAAACGGCTCTGCGACGTTATGAAAATGTCGAATGCTGGGATAAGCTGTGCCAAACGGACCCTAAATCACACGTTTTAACTCCATTTTGCGTGACTAACACATAACTTGTAAAATAGCACCAAGAACCTTCGACAATCATAAAATCATGATAAATAAAGTAAAATAGTATGAAAAAGGCATGATAAGAAATAGGGCAAATCACGTGAATGTCAGGTATTACCAGAAAAATTTGCCACTAGAGAAATGAAGGAAACGATATTTAAGGCAACACATTATTAGAAGAATATTTTAACACACAATAAAAGAAAATAATAATGAAAGAATATCTCTTGGGATCCATGTGAATAATAATATTATTTATAGTGTTGTAAAGTATGAATTTTTCAACATCAGGTTACTCATTACAGGAAAATGGATAGATCTCTAGGCATTATAGAGCAATTATTTTCTGCAGAATCTTCTCTCTATTCCTAATTCTAATATTTCTACTCTAAAGCTTTTATTGGGTAAGCTTAGTCCACAGACAAATTAGGATAAAAAATATATTATTTTAAAGTATTTAATGGGAACAATAAATTTTTTTTACATTATTTATAGCCCCAAAGAAAAAAAAAAGCATCTCTCATAGAGTAAACATTTTATTAATCTCTTCGAAGAGATTAATGTTTTATGTTGCAATTCTAGTAATAGCCTTACGAAAAATCAAATCACCTTTGGTAAAACAGGCGTGCGTACACAAAAATACACAAAAATAAAAAATAAGAATAAAAAAAACTTGACAACCTGTCACGATATTGAATGCCAGTAAGAAAAATGATCAATTGAATATCTACTAAGCTTGCCAATCCATTAACCCTTGGAATTCCAGTCAGAACCTACAACATAAAGTTAAAAGCATTTGGATGATGTTCTACATATTCTTGAGTACGCTAAAAATAATCTCTTGTAAATAGATTAATGTGTAATAAGATGGGAACATGAGCTCAGAATACAAGTCCACCATTAGATTGTGTTTCTTTATTGGAGGTGGCCTAAAAAACTCAAAAAGACAAGACAAAATCTTCTGGCTATATGAAATGATATAGATAATGATGTTTTTTTTTGGCGGAACTTCATTTTTTTATTAGGCAGCATTTGATTTATGCAGAGACAATCAAGTCAACATTAACATTAATAGCCATATATTTCATCAAATAACCAAATGCTTTTGTTTATTTTTATTTCACGAGGATGTAGCGCTCGTAAAGAAGAAAATTATTAGGAACAAATAAGGATGTGAATTTAGCTCAAAGATCATTAATCATTTGAAATTGATTCAAAATTTGGCTCGAACCGAGATAAGATCAAAATAAATGAGCCGAGCTGCGAGCCAAAATTTCAGATTGAATTTTTTTCGAGCTGATTTTGAACCGGCCTTAGCTCGGCTCAAAATCAAAATGTTAGTAACCCTAGTGACGTTATGGCTATAAATTTAGAAAATCTAGCTCAAAGATCGCTAATCACTCAAAAATTGTTTCGAATTTTGGCTCAGATCAAGATCTGATCGAAATAAATGAGCCAAAATTTTGAATCGAATTTTTTTGAGCCAATTTTAAGCCGACCCCAACTCAACTCGAAATCGGATCATTAATAGCCCTACGCACAAAAAGAATGCCTAATACTTTTTATCAAGGCGTTGTCTTCTCACTAGTACAGCGAGCTAGGCCCATCGATATGCGTACTCCAATTAAACCGACAATTAGCATAAATTATATTAAACAAAACTATTACACATTTCAAATGCGAATAAAATTATTTCAGCGTACCCTAAATAATTTATTCATTTTTGCATTACACATTGAGGGGACCTTTAACAAATAAAATTCGTCAAATGTCCCCATCATTCAGCTACACAATTGAATGAATAGCTACCACTTGTAATAAATTTAAACTAATTGTGTATAGAATAAGAGTTTTTAAAAACAATTGATCTACTTGAAATAGCAATTGTTTATTGACATAGTTGATGGTGCAATGTATATGAGTAAAAGCACTTTCCTTTAACTATTATCAATTTTTAGAATAATATGGTCATGCATCATAGAGACATAGAAAAGCATAAGATTAAAAAATTTATAGAAGCCAATCAAAATCATAAAGTATGTCATATATTATCAACCCAACCACTTATTTCCTAATCATTAGGACATCACTAAGCTTTGAAACCATATTTTTGCTCATATAATCGAAGTCTTCAATTATAAAATTTCTACTGTATTTAACTTGTTATTAACTAGTCTTTAAAAAATCTTAAAATCATGCATGCCATTAAATATAATAGCATCAAAGACAATTTGTAATCCATGCATTTGAAAATCAAAACATTTAAAAAAAAATAAAAAATAAAAAATCTAACTTTAAGTCATGCATTAATGCTTAAAATGACTAGTACAGCTTTAAGGCCCATCAAATTAGATCTTACATTCATAAGAAAATAAAAAGGAAGTATGAAATCTCAATTGAAAATAAAATCAGACAATTTGCAAACAGAGTAACATGCATGCCAAAGTTTAAATCTGTGAAGTGCAAGAACATGAGGCAAACACAATTTGCCAAAGAACAGTTGGTCTAAAACTAGGACACAAAAAATAAACGCCCCATAAAAGATATGTAACAGACTCAACACTTACATGGTAAATCCAGAATCACAGATTATTTATAGTTTTTAGCACTCCGGCCAGACAAGTTACCCTTCCAGATTCAGCAAGCAAAGTTTGCTTTATGCATAATTCAATCTGAAAATGTCATTCAGCACAAAGAAGCTCCCCTGTGCTGTTGGGAACAAGTGGAACATCTGTCAATAAAAACAACATCAGTATTTTCAGTTCAACCAACCAGTAAAGCAAATGAGCAATTCAAAAAGCTTAAAAATTCCCAATGAATATATTACATTAATGAGGGATAAAAACCATTGGAGACGAAGGAAAAAAAAACAATTTAAGAATGTGCAACCATTAATAAAAAAAATGGGACTAAACAAGATTAGAAATGGAAACACATGACAGTAAAGCACAAAATGAACTCCATTCATTCAAACCATCAATTTGATTGTGACGAAGTGAATCGATAAAAATAATTCATATTACAACAGAAATAGATGTGATTTCAATGCAATCTCCCATTATTTACTTCTCAATAAGCAATAATAAATATCTATTTCGGTAAAATAATAAAGGCAGATCATCCGAAATAGGAATATATTATTTAGAGCAAAATATAAATTTTGAACAATAAGCAGAAAAATATTAATGAAATGCTTCACAATGAAAAAATAACGAAGAATAATTACCACACGGTAAATAATATGAAGCTGAAACAACGAACTACACCTGCAATGAGCTAATAGCCCTCTGTTCAAATGTATATACCATGATTTTTGAAGTTCTAAGATTCAGTGGGATTCCAATCATCTGTTTGAAGCACTGAAGTTACCACCAACTCCCTACTATCATTTATTAAATAGAAACGATAGTTACAAATAGATCTTCCTAACTGCTGCGCTTAAACTTTACATAAAGTTTGCTTGTAGTTGTCATTCAGGTTTTCAAGGATGATTGCATTTTTTCTTTGAAATTATGAAAATGGACTTGAGAATAAAAAGATTTGAAGTAAAGCACTACAATGTGAAGTCAGCCAAGGGATGAACATTTTAATATTAGACAAAGTCAGCTTTTTAAGAAAATGCTAAAAAAACCTCATACCCTTTCCTTCCGCTGCCAGTCTCAAGCAATGCTTAAAGAGAGCGAATAGGGAAGAATGTAAAGTTCTACATTTCTCTAAAAAAGATCAAGAACATTCTTCAAGGTAGGTTGCCAAATGCACTATCTATACCAGAGAGTTTGTGATGCAGTAGATTAATGAATTGAAAAAACGAGAGAGTTTGTGATGCAGTAGATTAATGAATTGAAAAAACGAATGACAAAAATGATGAGAGAAGCATTAGCACAAGCATCAAAGAGATTGCACTCCCACCTTATCTAGAAGCTCCTGTACGACGGAGAAGAGTACTCCGCCGGAGAAGAGACCTCGCCGCCAAAGTCACAAGGACCCCGTCACTTGTAATGGAAGACAAGGATGATACATACTATCCTAATAATGTTGGCTCAGCACAGTCGAAGTATGAGAGAAGAGGGAGGAAATTAAAACTCGACCTTATCCATTGGAGAACACTTTTTGAGAGATCACTAAAGTGAATGCGCTTGAACAATTCAAGGATCTGAATCGTATCGAAGGTAATCAAATCCTCTGACAACAGAGCCTCTTTCAAGTCATTGCCTACTTACTAAGAGTAAATGACACATTGAAATATCATTTTTTCTTCATGAATTTGAAGGAATCAACATAAAGATGGTGTAACCTGTTGCTAGGAGTGCCACAACTTATAAGGACTTCAATTGCATGTTCATAATGTAATTCGCTTGTGTACAGAGACTAAAATAATTTGCAAGCTCTGTTAAGAATTCGAAATAAACTAAGGGACTTTGGGCTTTTATTACTCGTTTTCAGAGGAAAATGTTGGAGGTTCAAGACATCAAGCTACAATAGCCCACACCACATTATCCCAAGGGTTAAGAGAAGGTTCCTTTCATTATGCACTCAAGCTGCGATGATCCTCAAGCTACAATGATCCTGAACCTTAGCAAAGATGTTGGAGCTGTCCAACAACCATATTTTTCACAGAAAAGTATAATTTTCGTTCCTAAGTCATGTCTGTTGAAGATAAACTTCAGCCAAATTGATAAGGATGCAAGTTGCCTTGTGCAACCTACAAGAACGTCAGATTTCGAAGAGTGTCGACCGCATCCCTTCAAGAAAATGACATATTCAAGAGGTAAGTTTTTCCCATAGAATGACGACTTCAATATCATGAGAGGAGGGTATATTGGCCAGAGGTCACTGCCACACACTCACCAATTACCCACTCAAAATCTCCTATAGTCTCAATGGCCAAAATAGTGGAGGTCATTCAAAATAAAGAACATTTTCGGAAATCCATGCCTATGAAGCCTTGAAGATACCTGCAAGATCCACGGAAATATTGTGTAACATTGTGAACACAGTCATAACACTGAGGAGTGTCAACACCTCCAAAGTTTAATTGAATAATTAGTTAAAGCTGGGAAACAAAGTAAGTCTATCGTGTCAGGTGAGTCAACTTTGAGACAAGAAAAGGCACCTATCGAGGAAGCTCGCAAGCTAGTTTGGGCTCATGTGACCAATATCACAGGCATTGTTCCAGCTATTTTCAGTGGGGACAAAGTGGATGCATCCTGCTAGACTAGCCTAAAGAGGCTTTACTCATGAGAATTGTGCTTGGCGACTTTGTCTCACAGCCAAATCATGAATCATCCACCCTTCATTTTCATCGATGAAGACTTGTCTGTTAAGAGAAATCCTTACAAAAATGCAATAATTATCATGACACTGATTAAAAATTATAAAATAGGCAATATCCTTATTCATACCATGAGTTCTATCAATAATCTTCTCAAAACTATTTTTGAAAAGATAGACCTTAATTTTCCACATTTGTCCTCTATTTCAAGCCCTATGTGGTAAAGAGGAAAGAAGCTATGGGAGTCATAGCATTACCCATCATTTAAAGGGATAAAGACAAGCAATCCACAAAAATGGTAGACTACGTTGTAGTCGATTCTCTAAAGACTTAAAAGGCCATCTTCAGTCATCTACTCCTCAACACCTTCAAGGTGGTAATCACAGCGTACCATATTGCCATCAAATACTCAAACGATGGTAAATTGGTGACTTGGAGCTGTCACATACCTGTTATCTAAAAATAGTAAATGATTTATGAGAGGAGATATTAAAGCTAAAAGTTTAGCAAGCGAATGTTCTAGAGACGACCGAAGTCATAGAAGTCTTTGTTACTAAGGATGAGTCGGGTAAACTTTTCGACATAGCATTATTTGTTTTGTAGGATTCAAAGATTAGTTGGTCTCCATCCTGCGAGAGTATTGCAATGTGATCGTCTGATCAATAAAGGAAATATCAGATGTCGAAATTGATGTCATTTTTGATAGATTGAAAGTCAACCTCAGAGCTTAGTAGGTAAAGCAGATAATGCAATCAGTCTCTATTACTATCGTAGAGCCCATTTGCCAAGTATAAAAATTGTTAGACATTGACCATAATAGAGAGGTACAATACCCAGATTGGATTGCTAATGTTGTGATAATGTCGAAGTCAAATGAGAAGTGATGAATAGACATCAATTTCACAAATTTGAACTCGACTTACTCAAATGATAACAGCTCATTACCATGTATTAATGAACTTATTGACTCTGCAATCAGCTAATCAATCAATAATTTCTTGGATATTTTTCGTTTACCACCAAATCAAAAAGCTCTGACAGATGCTGAGAAAATGACAAACATTACTAGGGATGAGTTTATTTCTATATTGTAATGCTCTTTGAACTCGGAATGTTGGCGTTACTTATCAACAAATGATAAATGTAATCATCAATAATCACAAAAAGAAATATTGATGTCTATGTCAATGATGTTTTACTTACAATCAAATCTCTAAAACAAGATATAAAAAATCTTAATAAGTACAATATGAGTTAAATCTACTCAAATATACATTCGATGCAGGAACAGGAACATTTTTAGGTTGTCTTCTTATTCCAGAGGGTGAAGGTATCAAAGTCAATCTAGAGAAAGTCAAAACACTTATAGACATATTGTCACCTCACAACAACAATACAACAACAGACGGGTCGAATTGCAACTTAAATTCGTTTTATCACTGTCTGGTGACAGGTGTGCAAGCCTTCTTTAAAGTTCTAAGGATGACAAAGCGCTTCGTCTAGAAAGAGGAGTGCGAGCAAGTTTTTTGTAGGCTTAAGAATTTCAGGTTGCCGCAATCATATGCATATGTTGTAATGCGTTTATATCATATGTATGCATATCGTATTATGAAAACTTATCAAAGACATTTTTATGCAAATTTTGCATCTTAAAAGTTTAATCTTCGTTGGCTTTATGAATATGTCCTAGTATGCCTACATAATAGTCATAAGCCTAGAATATATGGCATTCCATATTAAGAATGCTTTATTTATCGAGGAGTTAATTCCTAACTTTAACCTCATGCATTTATATCCTCATATCACCCTCTATGAGTGGACCTGGCATATCTTTTTTGGCATATCTTTTTGATATAGTTTTAAAGAAAATCAACAATTCAATAGCAAATATCCTTTAGATGTTTGATCAATCCATAGTTGTAATGTGTTACTGAAAATTATTCACGAGTATATCCTGTTGAACAATACAAATTATTACATAATAATCATGCTCATATGACTGCTAAGGGCATAAGTGATCTTGGTTACATCACTTACAAAGACCATATGTAAGGTCGTTTTTTCAAATAAATTTAATTTCTTAATATAATTAAATTTAGAGTTATTTTTAAAAATTCAAATTATCAAATTCGATCATATGTAAAATAAATCTTTTTTAAAAAAAGATATAT